CACTGGTAAAATGTGTTCAATATTACGTTTGGTGTTCATGATTGTGTAAATTTGTTCAATATTACGTTTGGTGTTCATGATTGTGTAAATTTGTTCAATATTACACCATTGTGTGTGATTGAAACAATTGACAAAGTTCAATGTTGTGTTTGTGGGAGGTGGCAATAGGTAAGATACAACATAAATTGACCGATTTACCCTTAATTTTGTAGAAATTTTTCAACAAATGCATACATGAAATTTGTCTCTATTTTCCCCAAATTTTAACCTAACATCTCGCGTTGGTGCAAAACGATGAACGGCTTGGCTCGACCTTGAAGCAAAATGTGAATCTTATGGAGGTCCAACGCGATGTCGCTCGCATGTGAGTAATTTTTCCATTCTCCGGTCACTCGTCGTTAATTAGTGTACGAAATTGGTTTAGAATTATTTTTTTTCTCCGATAACTGGGGTGACCGAAGACAGATTTTGTTTGTACTGTGTTGTCCTATTTAAATTTATTTCATTATGTTTCTGGGGTTATATCAATAGGCAATGATTGTGCACATCCACCAAGAATGAAAACCAACAAGAAGCAAAGTATGGTATGTTGTTGTGTCTAATCAAGAGTCTGGTTATTCAGACCCATGTGTCTGTATTCAAAAAATGTATCATTATATTTTCTGTTATTAAGTTCTATCACTGCTGGGTTCCTGCCAATTTCCTACAAGATTTGATTTTAGCAGTGTAATGCAATTTGGTGATGGAGATTAGACAAGCAAAAAATGGCAGAGATGGTGTATTATATTCTCGTTTTAGCTTTATCGGTCATTTACAACTCATACCTTGTGTATTGTAATTATTCTTGTATCAACTTGCCTCCTCTTTATGGTCCTTTCATGTTTTATATAAAGATACACTCAGTTACCAATAACATTCATATACAAGTTGTGTATCAAAAATTGTAGTTAGTTAACACATCCAGGGTTTTTTCTTTCCTTCAAAAGCAGTGTAATGCGTCATTTGAGAAGGGAAGCCACACAAGACGAGCTTCTTTACGATGCTCGTTGGACCAAAGATATGGACAACTTCTTCGTAGACCTTCTGGCCGAGGCACATGTTGCTGAGGAATGGAGGCAGGAGAGACCAGACACTCATGTGTTCCACTACTGCTGCGGTGTATTGGTAGCAGATGTGGGTGTTGTTAAACGGGAGTTAACAACTATATAATCAACAGGGATTTATTGTAACTTCAAAATAGATTAACAAAAACTACGTGAACAGTTAAATAAGATAGAATTTTCTGAATATTATCGTATATGTCCTGGCTGGAGAACCCTTTTCTCCTTTTATATTTATTTACAACATTTATCTAGTATGTAATCATTACACAAGAATAGTCAACGGCGGCTAATCGCCATTCATCCTGGTAACGTGCCACTTGGCCAGGTGTAATGATGAGTTGTGCTGAGTTGGCACCGCCTCGTGGTGTCGGTCTAGCAAGTCATAGATATCGGCTCGTGTAGTTATAACCGATATGTCGCATCCGATATGTATTAACCGACATGTCATAACCGACATGAGATATCGGTTAATTGACGACGATGTCGGTTCTTGATAAATTCTTACCCAATATGTAATTATCCTGAAATCTGTGAAGACATCATCTACTTTGCAGATTCAATCATCCTCCTACTGAATATAATCATCTGATCAGCGTCGCTTAATTCGGTTTACTGAAAATGATGACAACAAGGTGGCCCCCAGCATTAATGGTTGTCTTGAAAAAGACGGGCAGTGATGCTGAAAACTCCTTAATAATCTTTTAGTCTTGAACAAG